GCCACGTACACACTGCAAGTTTCAGGAGTGACAACCGCATTTAAATGCCGAAACAGTGAGGTAACCATAGCAACGTTGTGGCGTCTTGGAGAGAATGGAGACCCGCAGATTAGCTAGTTTTGTGTTAGCTGCTGTTGACAAAACATACATTAGACTGCAAAGACAAGCGAAAATCCTCAAAACGTTATTAAATCGCTGTCGTCGGGAGAGGCGTTGTAATAGTTTTATTCTTTAAAGTAGGGGTGTAACGGTACACAAATATGACAGTTCGGTACGTACCTCGGTTTTAACGTCACGGTTCGGTAGATTGAGGCATGGTTTACACTAACCAGTTTTTCTTGACAAGAACATATTTGTCAGATATGTCTCACAAACTTGCCACTGTGCAAATTATACATCAATAGTAGCTAAAATATAAATATATATCGTTTGTCTTTGTGTTTGTCTTTGGACAGTGGAAAATGACAGAGAGCTGTCGCCACAGAGAAGACACCATAAAGAGTACAAATTCAACCTGTCCCAGATTCCAGAGGGAGAGGCCATCACAGCCGCAGAATTCAGGATCTACAAGGAGTGTGTGACCAGGGCCTTCCACAATGAGACATTCCTACTTAGTGTGTTCCAGGTGGTTGGTGAACATCCAGACAGGTAAACGAGAAGTTAAATTATATATATATATATATATATATATTATTCGATAAATATAGATATTATTTTGCTATAATGTAAAGCCTAACCAGGTTAGTATAGTCAACTAACTTATAAAATAGTAAAATCATTGCGGTAATAAAATCGTTACCTCAAAGTCATTACACAATGATCTTTTTAAAAAAATATGTGTACAGTGCAACTAGAATTACATTACGAAATAAACCCAATTAAAGGGATAGTTCACCCCAAAATGAGAATTTGCTGTTAATTTACTCTTCCTCAGGCCATCCAAGATGTAGGTGACTTTTTTTCTGCAGTAGAACAGTAATGAAGATTTTTAGCTGAAACCGTGGTCCTTGCTGGTTAATAAAATGCAAGTCAATGGTTGCCTGTTTTTGAGAATATATATATATTACTAACAGGTTTAGTAAAATATAATGAGTATGTGGTGTAATATTTCGCAAAATGCTCCTCTCTAGTCTTCATTTCTCTAGTGAACTAACGAGCTGTGGACACTGATGACTTGCTGAGGTAAATTAAATGCTACGTGACATTTTATTTCCACGCTGTATTGTTGATGTCTTTCCGCGGTTGAAACACTGATTGAGCAATTACATGAGGCATGAGATGTTCAGTCATGTTTAATCACGTTAAAACTAGTAGTACAGAGGAAGGAATGATCGCGTTCACTCGCGCTCCGCTCTGGTCACGGCTCAGACACGGGAACCTGAGCTGATCGCGGCCGCTCTAGTCAGTGCTTGTGTTGGGATCATACCAGCACGTTTCTGAACCGTCCCAGAAGCGGCTCTCTAAGGCGTTTATACAGCGATCTGTCTTGCAACATAAAAGACGGTCAAAACGCCATTTATTATTTGAATTTCCTGAGAAGAAAAAAACAAAAAAACTGTATTGGTGCGGTACACGAACCGAAAGACACGTACCGAAACGGTTCGGTACGAATACGTGTACCGTTACACCCCTACTTTAAAGTGTTGTTATTGAACAGCATAGACTCTCTGCTCGGTCAACAATACAGCTCTCTCTGCCATCCTGTCAGATCTAAGGTAAACACTTGACAATACATACACATTGGTGTGCTTCTCATGACATCATCATTAACAACTAGTTGTTCAGTTTGGTTCCGTATACACTGCATAGAATTTCTGTAAATGCGGTTGTCACTACCTGTATTTTTCGGGAGTTCATACGGTTGTCGAATGCGGTTGTCACTCCCGTATTTTAGTGAATGATGTGTGTACAGAATGCGATTAAGGGAACTGACAACCGAATATAGCTGCAGTGTGTCCGTGGCCATTGAGGTCTTGTCTTATGAAGTGAAATTATTGCTCTGTGCAAGAAACTGAACATTATTTACCTGTAATCCGTAGCCTCGGGTAACGGGGAAATACAATTCTTTTCCTTGAACTGGTTCTTTTGGACAGTTTGTTTCAATAAACTCAACTGGTTGAACGTCACACAATGGCGTAACATATACGCAATTAAATGATTAAAGCACCCAATAATGATATGAAACGTGGATGCTTTACATGTCTAAAGCATATAAAGTAAATAAACTTGTCTTCACAGCTCACCTTTTATTTAAACAATAAGAAAACATTGGTTCACACATGTGCATATAAGCGGTTCATAGTTTGGCTCATTTTAAATCGGAATGACTGTCAGGCATGTCCAAAAGTAAATTTTGATTGAGGAACTTCACAGACTTCAGTGAACGAGTGCTGGTGCGTCACATGCACATCAAATAGATGAAGCGGATTAGAATGAGAGCACAATAATTCTGACTAAAATATTTTGCATCCAAAAGAATAAACACTTCACATCTCTTCCCCCAATTACAACAGCCCTATAAACTGCAGTGTATGTTGACAGACTTTCGTTTATTTAAAGACAGACATATTTTGTTCAGTAAACCACTGTTTATTAAAAATGAAAACGTGGTTTATTTTTCCCCCTACTACTGAAAACATACTGAACCGTGACCATCGTTTTTGCGTACCGTTACACCCCTAGTAAATATGAACCAATTTATGTACAATTAAACTGCAATTGTGAAAATATTGATTTGTTGGTGCTTATTCACGATTTTCAAGCTGAGTAATTGACTGATTTAAATTGAGCCAAGCCGTCCATCACTTAACACAGCAGAGGTTGTCTACCATGTACTTTATGTAGACCATTGCAATGACCACAACGCACAACTGAAATAGCTTTAGTTTGGTGTTTTAAAAGAACCCACCAACACACGTCAAACATTGACTTTGTGGGTGGTGGGAGGGATATCTCCTTGAGAAAGGCAGATGGCGTGACCGGTGAAATGTCCAAAACTCACCAATAAGTTGTGACTGTGAGGCTAGATAATAATAATAATTATTATTATTATTATTATTATTTAACAGAGAAAGGCACCAAATAAGAATTTTGTAACAAAACTAAAGCCAGAGCCAAAGCTGGCTAACTACATGTTTCTCTCACAAATAGTTTCTAAAGTTTATCGTGAAGTGTTCATTTGGTGTACAATCTGAGTTGAACAATGGACACACTGTTTTTCCACAAACCTGCATTGGTCATTTTATTTTTAGCCATATCTTGATATTATGTATTGGCATTCTCTGTAAAACAAGTTTTACCTTGATGCAAATTATAGCGTTCTTTGTGGTATTTCCCTACATGCCAATTTCTGCCTATAAATCCCAAATGCTGTGTGGCTTGCAAAATGTATTTGCTTACAAACAGATTAATTTGCAAACTTGTCAAGTTCTAACAGCATAATTACTGTGTTTATGGTTTGTGATCTTTAAAAAACACGTTGGTTGGGGAAATGCGGTATAGCTAAGCTAAGCAGATGCACAAGATGGCTGAGAGAAACTTCTGAAGTGTGTAAGCCTTTAATCCATGAAGCAAAAAATAACTTGGTTATGGAGGTGGTGCAGAGGGGCTGTACTGTAAATCTGGCTGAATTTAGCCCATGCGGCAAGACGATTTGTCCTAACACAGCACCATAGTGAACCTCAAGTCAACAAGTTTCGCATGGCCTTAAATGTAAAGAAACAATAGCATGTGAGAACATTTTTCAAGTGATTGGACTTTGTTTCTCTGGACCATCTATAATATGCCAAAGGTATTTTATTTCTGCACCACTAGAAAATAATATTTCCAAACATTCCCCATCTTCCATTGTTTGAGCAGTGGTGGACAGTAACGGAGTAGCTTTACTTCGTTACTGTACTTAAGTAAATTTTTCAAGTATCTGTACTTTACTTTACTCAAGTACTTGATTTGTGTACTTCGTCCACCACTGTGTTTGAGTATGTCTGAAATTGATTAATAGCATACTAGCAATTGTATTTGACAATTATTTTTAACAAAGTGAAGGAAACAGCATGCCAAAAAAAAAAAAAAAACATTACATGGCAGGTTTAATGTAGCAAGTGATTCTAGTTTACGATACTTTATGAGTATTTTGTTTTTTTGAAAATCACCTAATATTGGGAAACTGATAATAGAAACCATGTACAATTCATATATTGCAAAAAAAACTTGGAATTATAAGAAAATTTGCATTTACATGTATATATGGCACTTTTATTCAAAGCAGCTTTGAATACTTCATTATATGGGGAAAAAAAACTGTTTTGGAGAAATCTGAGATGCATTTTTAAACACTGTCAATTGTATTTATATTGAAATCACAGCAAAGATCAGGCTTTGTTTTCATAACAATCCATCAATACCTCATTTAAAATCCAGTTTACCATGACTGTGGAGTTATTACTTTTCTGTTTGTATATATTGTAATCCCTGGTTGTTTTCATGTGCATCTGGCCTCCATGGAAAACCCTCCCAAGCCATATGTGAAGACGGTCCTGTATGCCTGCAATGGCATTGTGAAGCTATTAAACTATATGTCCATTTTAACAGCAGCCAATGACAGAGGCAATAAATGCAATTTATGTAACCAAAAAAAACCCTGACACTTCTGACTTTATTATTCCAGTTAATTTATTGTGTCTGTAAGAGGCTTTACAGTTGGGCTTTTAGAGTTGGCAGCTTCCCTGTGGTCTCATTCGGACACTATCCCAGGTGAAGGTGTGTGATTGGTGGCTCTAAACAATATGAGTCAGCATAAGTACGATGCGTTCATGTCGAATGTGACGTGTGAACCACCGGAGGGAAGAACCTCATATGGAGTTCCTCAGAGAGCGGCTCTAATTAATGAGCAATAACGAGGAGCTGCAGGGACATTCCTAAAACACCTGTGTGACCGACAGCTTTGAAGTGACTTGGCCAATGCTTAGTAGCATGCATAGTGTGTAATTACTGTAATGGGACAGGCCTCCCTGTAAGGCTACTGTGATCAAACTTTTGTCTCTGTTCTCAAATCAGTGACTTGAAGCTCCTCTAAATTTGACAAACTTTATATATATATATATATATATATATATATATATATATACTGCTCAAAAAATTGAAGGAACACTTTGAAAACACATCAGATAGATTTCTTTTTCAAACCAATGTGTTATTAGCATTTATTTTATATATTTGTACTGTATTTCCTGTTATTCACTTTGTTCTCAAAATAAAGATAGTATTGCTGCTGACATGGTGTTAAAAAAGAATAAATAAATAAATTTACTTTATTAATAATAATAATAAATAATAGATAACAATTAAAAGGGGATCATAGATTTGTGTAAATAGTGTTTATAACAGTTAACGATCTTCGGACATGCTTATTTGCAGGGATGCCGACCTGTTTCTGCTAGAATCTCGCAGGTTGTGGGCAGCTGAAGAAGGTTGGCTGGAGTTTGACATCACAGCATCTAGTAATCTCTGGGTGATGAGTCCACTTCATAACCTGGGTCTACAGATCAGTGTGGAGACCAGCAGTGGTAAGATGATTTTAAGATGAGTTTAACATATATATGTGTGTAGCTCAGGTGATTGACTCAAAACTGAATGCCTATGAGCTGCCATGAGCAAAGATGGCAGATGGCAGAACAGCCAAGGAGTCCTGCATCAACCAAGCAAGTGCCAGTGAGATGAATGGGAATGATTGTTTTCTCAATGTGTCATACAGTATAGACCTCCTTGGCTAGTTCAACCTATTCATTTTCATTTCCTTTGGTGACTCAGTGTTCATTTCTGTTCATTTTGATTTAGTTTAATGGACAAGGATAATGCATTTATAGCACTTCTTCTTTTTAAAGGGTGGAGCATAAATCCTAAGGAAGCGGGGTTAGTAGGTCGTTATGGTGCTCTGGAGAGGCAGCCTTTCATGGTGGCCTTTTTCAAAGTGAGTGAAGTCCATATCCGAACTGGCCGGTCTGTGGGCAAACGACGTCAGCCAAACCGCAATCGCTCCAACAGTCCCCAGGAGACATCAAAGGGATCAGCTCAAACAGGTTAGCCATTGATATTTCCCATATTGTGAACTAAGCCCCTTTCTTTATTCTAAACGAGACAAGTTTAATATGGCAGAAATCAGACATAAAGTCTCTTTTAATTCTTCAGGAGATGTTGACCTGGGATAGTTTGGGGATGTTTTTGTATCTCGTGAGTTTTATTGAGTCCAAATCTTTATATACCCCTGCATAATGAGAATCTGAACTCAATAAAACTCTTTAAGATCCAAAGATAATTTATTTAAGAAGCAGCATATATATAGGCCTGACATCCCGTGTCTTGATTTGAAGTTTTTACCAGCCTTCACCAATAGATTGCTGCAGTGATGACGTATTTTTGTAGGTCGACCAGTAAGGTAGCATCACCCTGGTTCCATGACAAAAGCCCCAAATAATTTTTCCATTGGCTTTGGGATCATTGTAGAAAATAAACTCTAATAAACCAACAAAAGTGTAGACCAACAAAAGTGTATGATTCTTACACGTTTTGTCTATCATGAGAACTCATATGAATTTTGAAAAGTAAATTCAGTCGCCAGCTAAACATAGGCTATTACTGAACTAAACCACAGTTGCATGACTTCAATGTCACCACCTTATGAAACCTCTTTCAGTCTTTATTTAAAATATATTTTCCTGGAAAGTTTCAGTTAGAGTAGCCTGTAAGAGCTCGATTATGAACACAACTAGGCTGTAAAAGTGGACTAGTGAGTAGATGAGTAGATGTGGGATTTGATAATGTTTATTGACTTCAACCTCCTCTGTAGTCCCATTTAGCCGCTTGTTAAAAGTAAAAGCTTTTTAAAACGTATTAATGATTTATTTCATGTCGTAAACATGAAAATTGTGTTTGAAGCTTGTGTTAAAGGGGTCATATGATGCGATTAAAATTTTTCCTTTCTCTTTGGAGTGTTACAAGCTCTTGGTGCATAAAGA